CCTCCCCACCAATTAACTTTTAAGAAAATAAAACCTACCTTCCGCAACAAGTAACCACCTCAATAAACAAAATAAAGAAGAGCCCTAACCCGAACCCTGACACAACCCCTACCCTTACCCCAACCCTAACAACCTAACCCTAAACAAACACAAAACAGAAGAGACCTACCCATACCCCTACCCCTCAACAAACACAAGCCTACCTCCACCCTTACCCCAACACTTACCCCAACCCCTAGTTCCTACCCCTACCCCTTATATCCAAATAATCCTCAACAAAGAAAAATAAAGGAGAGACCTACCCCTACCCCCTCCCTTATCCTAATCGTAACTCTACCGCAAACCTAACCCGTACCACCAACCCTTCACAAACACAATAAAGAAGAGGCCTAACCCTTAACCTACTCCACCCCACCCCCATCTCTAAACATCAACAAACACAACAAAAAAGAGACCTACTATTACCCCTGCCCCTAAACCCTACCTCCACCCTTACCCCAACACTAATCACAACGACCTACCCCTAGCCCTAAACAAACACAATAAAGAGGAGACCTACCCCTTCATCAAACCCCAACCCTCAACAAACACAATATAGAAAAGACCTAAACCATACCCCCATCCCAACCCCTAACTTTCAACAAACACAAGAAAAGACCTACCCCTGGCCAGACCCTACCCCTACCCATACCCATACCCTGATCCCAAACCATACCCCTATCCCTAACAACTCTCTATTCTTCTATTTCATATTGGTCACTCGTTGCGGAATTCCTCCTCCCTAATAATAATACTATGTATTTTGCTAGAATTAATCGCGGTGAGAATTTGGTTAGAAACCGTAGAAAACCTGGTAACTCAGCGCTCCCAAACAACGAAAGTAGAGATAGATAAAGTCTGCGGGGTCAACTATCACGGCTGCGCCTTGATTCAAGTCTACTAATCCCCGACTCAGACCTTTCAAACTTTGAACAGGACCTAAAAATGCGCAAACTACTGTAATTTTGTCATGATCAGATGGTATAACAGCTTGGCTTTCAGTCTCCCTTCATGATTTTGGAAGCCATTGAATATGTATACGGAGTGTCTACACGTAAACATGGTAACCGGGCACCTAGTCTCAGTATCTACGTAAACAGTAACCGGGCACCTAGTCTCAGTATCTACGTACACGGTAACCGGGCACCTAGTCTCAGTTTACGTACACGGTAACCGGGCACCTAGTCTCACCTAGACTCAGTATCTAGATCTAGACGTACACGGTAACCGGGCACCTAGTCTCAATATCTACGTACACGGTAACCGGAATGAAAATTAATCAAAATATATATAATTTGTCCTGTGCTGTCACTTGCTGAAAAAAAAGAAAGTCATAAAAGCATCTTGTCGGGCTCACTATCGTGACCAGTCAGTGAACCTGTGTGTGCGCATCACATTGTGAGTACCGGTTGGGGTCACCAAAGTTTATTCAAAGTCTGTGCGCTGCGAAGTATACGGCTCCGGAACGGGGGGATTATTGATTTTTTTAAACGAAAGGTACAGTCGGGGGAGGGGTGGGGATGAAGGTAACATCGGATGACAAAAGCTGAACTTGGAGTTCTGAACTGCCCGGTTACCGTGTACGTGACACCGAGACTACATGCAAGGTTGCCGGTTACCGTGTACGTAGGTAGATATTGAGGCTACATGACCAGTTACTGCGTACGTGACAATGAGACTATGTGCCCGTTTGCCGGTTACCGTGTACGCAGACACTGAGGCTAGGTGCCCGCTTACCGTGTACACGTAGACACTCCGTTCAGTAAAATCTACATTCAATAGATCTAGTGGTCACTCGTTACGTAAGTCCTCCCAGCAATTGTTTACTTTCTCGCATTTAATTCCGGCCGCACCTAAACCCAGATCTAGATCTTGACGAAACCCTATGCCATGCATCTCCGACTGGATATTCAAAACTTTGCGCTGGAGTTAAGAATACGTAGAGATTCTAAACCACGGCTATTTCATCATTAGGTAGATATCTAATCTAGTAACATAGGCCTACTGGCTGGGCCTTCCGTAGGAGGCAATTGTTTACTTTCTCATGCTTAATTCCGGCAGCGCCTAGATCTAGATCCAGAAGAAACTCTATGCATGCATCCTCGACTGGATATAATTCAAAACTCTGCGCTGGAGTCTTAATCATTTGTACGTAGATTTAGATATCCTGGCGGTAAGATTGTACTTTACCGGACCACCGGTCGGAACTACTTTCGCTATGGCGCCCCTGGTGCCTAGTGGCCCGCTATTCTTCGTTTTCGAGCTCCCCTACTCACTCTCCTACTCAGTTTTCTACATCCTCACTCTTCAACTGCCAGCAATCGACTGACGTCTCTTACCGGGTTTTTCAGTCATCACGACCGTGCCACCGTGCCCTTTGACCCATGACCCTGACATCTTGAGGCTAATTGGTCAATCTTATCACGTGGTCCACTATTCTTATTTGCTCGCAACTCTGCTGGGTGGCCTAGGCCTACTCCTGGTCCGGCAAAGTACAATGGAGGGCTAAAGATGCACAAGAGAGCTCATTTGCATAATTGCAACCCCCTCGGCCCTGCTCGCGACTTGGCGAGTATCTACCCCGATTGTCCGCTCATGTTATTGTTTATAATATTAATATGTGTGTGTCAGTGTCTTTAAATTATTGTTGCCAGGGGGACTAGCCCCCCTGAAACCCCCCCTCCCCCCACTGTTGTTACATTGATATGTAAACACGACTGTCCGCTCATGTTATTGTTTCGCATTTTTGTGTGTTTTCTTTATTATAGTTTCCAGGGGGGCAAGCCCCCCTGAACCCCCCTCCCCCTCCCAACTGTTGGTATGATACACGGTGGTTCACCAAAAAAGTTAAATCCCCTGCCCACTTTCAACCATCAACTCTCGCTCACCTCGCCTCGCCAGTTGTCGCTGGCTTGCGCTGTGCGTGCGCGAAGTCGCCCGCGGAACTACCTTTTGTCCGCACGCAGAGTACTATGACTATGAGAGCGTAGTTAGGCTAGGTGTGCGTAGGAATCACGGACCGAGACGGGTGGTCCGGTAAAGTACAATCCAGCCATCCTGGCTTTAACTTTACACATTCTTTACTGATTTTGATGGCCATTGAGTAGATCTAGATTCTAGATCTAGTCTAGATCTAGATCTAGATTTATAGTAATGTTCACGATAGAGTTCAGAGCGGTTGCTCCCGGATTTAAACGCGAGAAAGTAAACAATTACCGTCCTCCCTTGAGTAGTGTAGTGAATAGGCCAAATCAATTATAATAATATTGATAATGATAATGTCGAATAGACTAGATTCTAGATCTAGACTGTAATAGTCTAAGTATAGAAGAGGCTTATTATGTTCGGCAGCCACAAATTATTTTTTTTAACCAATTCAGAATTGAATTGGCATTGGCATTGGACTTGGTAGTCGGTCTTACTTAGCCGCACCTGCGTGCAGGGGTGATACTAAAAATTTACAAAGTACTGTGCGATACGCTGTGACTTCTACTGACTCCAACAACCTTCAAATGCAGCCCAAGAAAGCTTCCAAAAGACGCTGACTCTGACAACTGGTCTCACTATTCTGTCTACTTCGACTCCTGACTCCTGTGGGATGAGAGATTTTAGCTTGCTAGGCGAAGAGAAGCTAAAGGGGACGTAATTCACTGGAGTTAGAAGGAAGGTTTATTTTGAATGTCAGGTACAATTCGCAGGTTGCAATTTGTACTAGATCTAAGCTATCACTTGTCTGTGTTCGGCTAAGCTAAAGAGAAAATGAAGAGCGTGTTTTTTTAGGTTATAATATTGCTTTGGTAGCCAAATGAAATAAAATTATGAGTGATGTTGAGCGACAAAACCTTTGAAAGAGACTTGGTGCTTTTTTTTCATGTTTCGACTGTTTCGGCAAGTGGTTCTACCAAGATGTACTAACGGGCAAACAGCTACGAAGGAAAACCAAAAAGTCCCAATATTAAAATTACGGCTCAATGTGTATAAGTTAAAAATAATTTACGGTATTTTGTTAGTTATTTGTATTAAGCCTTTGGGAAGTTTTTGTTCGTTTTCTTTCGTCCCGCTTTCACTATGCAGATCTTGATGTCATTTTAGATGGTGGAGATACTTTCAATTTTTCTGTTACTGCTTGTATAGCAAATTTTTATTTAACTATCTGGTCACATGACCTCAAAACTTGGCCAAAATAGTTCTGTGAATGAAAAAACGAGTTTGCCAATTAGGCCCGTTTTGGCTGGCATTCATGCCCGATGCCCCGGAGCTACAACAAGTTCAAGCCGGTGTGTTTCATCATTCGGCCAAGGCATCGAAATATTTTTTAACCAAGCCTACATTTTATTATTTGGCCTAGGCCTAGGCCAACTCCTCTTCTTTTTAGTTCCTCATGCAACTCCATCCCCAGACAAATAAAAACCGCTTTGATTGGTGGATCCTACACAACAAGAATTAGCAAAGCACTTGAATCTTCGCAGGTGGTTTTTTTCATAGCTGAAGCTAAAGTAATGAATGGGACATGATTACAATGTATTAAGTTTAACTTCTCTTTGCATTGTCGTCAGGTTTTGGGTCATAATAATATGCTTCTAGCAATCGGCCAAGACATCAAAGAGCTGGCAAGAAAGACAAGAGAATTTGGGCAGTTGACAAAATGAACATAAACAATAAATTAAATTTCAATAAGAGCTATAAATCTCTGGAGGGGAGACAAAAGCAAGATGAATTTTTTAAAATACCTTAAAAGATAGATAAATTGTAAGATTATGAATCTGGACGGAAAAGAAAGTTATTATCCCTATTCAGAGAATATATTTAACCATCCGTAACAGAACATAATTATTATGTCTCTCTCCTGCTAGCTGTAGGCCTACGATTTAGGCTACGGAAGGAATAATACATATTATTATTATTTAAAAATTATTTCATAGCACAGAAGACGAACAAAGATCCCCTCGGTCTCTCTGGCTACAATGTCTCTCTTGTTTCTGCGCCCCACCCCACCCCTAATATCGCCCCTCCTCTGCCTTCTCTCCTCTCTCTCTCTCTCTCTCTCTCCCTCTCTCTCTCTCCCTCTCCCTCTCCCTCTCCCTCTCTCTCTCTCTCTCTCTCTCTCTCTCTCTCTCTCTCTCTCTCTCTCTCACACACACACACACACACACACACAAACAGAGAGAGAGAGAGTCTCCAGCAAACACAAACGAATACGGAGAGAAAAAATTAATGCTTGGCACAAGAACACGCGTTCATGCAAACACTTATAAAAGATGAATGTATTTGTTTCAGGCACATCGAAGGCTTAGGAACTGATTGACATTAATGCTGTCTTCACAGAGTAAGTTTGGGGTATAGGCCTACAGTATACCCGGATAAGGTGGAAAGCAAATTAAATAATTAATAAAAATCCGGGGGAAGGGGGAGGGGTAATTTGAAGGGTACGGGCTCGGCGGGGGGGGGGGGGGGTGGGGGGTATAGGGCTCTTGGTTTATTATCTTATTGGTTTCAAATAGAAACAACGAAAGATGCAACAGTTAAAACCAGTGAGCTGTGGTGTTCACTGCAATGAAAATAAAACGGCGTCTGTGTCGCGTACAACGGTCTAATTGCTGGCTGCAGCAACTGGGTGAAGGCGAGCCTGGCGTCACCGCTATTCGAGGATAATATATCCACAGTTGACCATTATAAAAATACAGACTTCAACCAAAGTTAAGGATCACTTGCAAACACTGTGAGTGTTCTTCTTGGGTCGACCTGCACGTGGGCGTTCTTGGACTGATCCAGTAGCTTGATGGCGTTGCCTCAAGCGGACAATGACAGAGTGTGCCACCGAAAGCCTTCTGGCAACTTCTCGGGTTCCAACTCCATCCTGTCATTGCTCTGGCACGATCAAAGTCTCTCAGCTTTTGTCTTGGTGGCACGTCGATGTGATACTGGATTTTGCGCAAACGGCGGCTTATATTGCCACCAAAGTGAGCACAGTTCAAGACTGTTTGTCCGTTTATGACGTGCACAAGAAATTTTAACTGAGGAATGTCCGTGGTGTCGCACACAAGCCGATGAAAAATAGCAAATTTGGCTAAAATTCCCCGAGGATTTCCGTGCAGCACGTGATGGTTTTATCCCTTTAGGAAGCAATGCATTTGCAGTACGCATTGGTAACCCATTAACACTTTCAGAGCAACAAAAAAATTGAAACATTCCTTGAGGTCTTTTTTTTTCGGATTTAAAAAAATCAGGGCTGTCTTTCAAGGTGGTCCTTAACTTTTGTTGGAGTCTGTAGCTCTCAATCTCAAGCTTGCTTTAGAAAGGAGTGAATTCAATTCCCTCTGAAAAAAGGGGGCAGTTTTCATTGCGTCTTTCTACAGCCCTACGTCCGCGTCGAGAAAGCCCACTTCAAAAAAAAAATCTACATTGTATAGATGGTAGCCAAATTCATCCACAAAAATTTGGCAAACATCGGGTGTTGATTTGTCTCTTGCAGAGAAAGTCAAGAAACGTGATGAATCTACACAAAAAAGTACTATTGCGTGTCCATTTCCCTCCCTATGGACTTTGGTACAGAAAACCCAGTGAGTAGGCTACAGAAGAAAAGACCCCAAAAAAATTATTTTTTTAAACAACAAAAAACCCCAATAACATGCCATCCTTATTACAAAGGTTTTCACCGTGAATGCAATCGCAACACCAAAACTCAAAAAGATAATTTAGATTAGCAGCTATGCCTGAAAAGATCAATTTAGAAACCCTGAAACAACTTTCCATGAGAAACACCTGTAGGCCTACGACCATACTCCCCACCGTTGTCTAATGACGTGAAGCATAGACCACCATTAATGAACAACATACGGAAAAGGATTTTAGCTTTTGAAATGAAATGTTACAGAATTCTTAAGATATCGTGTTGATAATTTGTATTTTTAATGAAGAACTGGCATAGCAACGTCAGTACTACTCCCGAACAGAATGAAAATTATGAAACTGAACTACTTTTGGCATATCAATAAAATGCATGTACAATGATTAGAAACCTGCTCTGGAAGCAAAGATAGAGGGCAAGGAAAAAAGCGGAGACCTAGCAGAAGATGGGAATAGCTTGGCATTACATAAAAACAACATAGGAAGGCAGAATGGCAAGAGAAAAAGATGTTTTTTTAAATTGCAGAAAGGTCCGAGAGAGAAGTAACGTCCAACTCCTGAAAAAGCTACAGTGCAGCCTCACTTTAACGACATCGTCCGGACCAAAAAAAATGTCGTTACGGTATACATAGTTGTCGTAATAGAGAAGTAACGAAAATTTGTTAATGATGTTAATCTAAAGAAAAATCTAGACCTGGGTACACCAAGCCGCTATACAGAGGATGTTATCATATCGAATGTCGTTATAGAGGGGCTGCACTGTAATTAAGATCAAGAACAGGACGATTGTGCACTCTGGCGAATTTCTTGTTCGCCTTTGACGCGCGCCATTTGACTCAGTTTGAGCAAATCGAGGGGAAAGGGATTGATGCGGCGTGGGTGGAAGGGGGGAGGGGTGCTTCATTTGGTCGTAATGGCTCGGTCCAAGTTGTGCACACTTCGCAGCGAAGTTTTTATAACGAGTGGAAAGAGAGAGAGAGAGAGAGAGAGAGAGAGAGAGAGAAAGAGAGAGAGAGAGAGAGAGAGAGAGAGAGAGAGAGAGAGAGAGAGAGAAAGAAAGAGTGAGAGAGAGAGAGAGAGAGAGAGAGAGAGAGAGAGAGAGAGAGAGAGAGACAGACAGACAGACAGACAGACAGACAGACAGACAGACAGACAGAGAGAGAGAGAGAGAGAGAGAGAGAGAGAGAGAGAGAGAGAGAGAGAGAGAGAGAGAGAGAGAGAGAGAGAGAGAGAGAGAGAGTGGCTGCCATAAAAGTCAGCGATCTAGAAATACAAGTCTATGGCTGTGGCTTATGAAAGATCGATGTCAGGAGCAAAGTTGCACCCTCTGTCTCCTGCTTGTGCGAACAGCGCGCTATTTATTCATAATACATTGTACTCGGAATTGATGAAAACGTGACGAAACGTCATGATTGCTTGAGCTGCTTGTCGTATGAATGTTCACACCTCTGATTCATCTTTGAATAAGTACATTGTTGTGGACAACTGAACTGATTTTGCCCATTTTAAAAATTGCAATGTTGGGTGGATCAAAATTTGTCCTTCAGTCCCTCACTAAGCATCGCCACTGTTAAGAACGTACCATAGATTATCTCCTAACGAAAATATTGAAACCTAATTTGAAAAAAAAGTCCTACTCAAACATAATACATAGGCCCATAACATCTGTTTCATCTGCTATCCCATGGTTGGGGCAACCGTGGGGGCACCACTGCATCTGAAAACCAGCTCCCGCCATTCATCTTCGTCCTCTGCTTTCCTCGGATTGTCACCCATCGTCTTTCCTGTCCACTCTGTAATGTCGTCCTCTTATCTCCTTCTCTGCCTTCCTTTCTTTCTCTTTCCTTGTACTGTTCCTTGTAGGATTGTTTTGGCAAGTCCTGTGGATCTTGTGACATGCCCATACCATTTTAATTTTCGTCTCTTCACTGTGGTCTGTAGATTTTCATGCTGCCCCACTGCGTTGGTGATTCTGTTCCGTACCTCAGCATTTGAAACGTGGTCTTTGTATGAGATGTCAAGGAGTTTGCGGTAACATCGCATCTCTGTTGTCTGAATCCTTTTCTCCAATTCTTCTGCCAGTGTCCACGACTCGCAAGCGTATAAAATTATTGAGATGACCAGTGAATGCATTAGTCTGACCTCGAGTTGGGCGTGATGTTTCTGTCCCTCCAAATAGGCTTCAGTTTTGACATCGCAGCTGTTGTTTACGTGATTCTGGAGATAATTTCTGGTCTTGAGCCTTCATTTGAGACGATTGATCAAAGGTATTTGAAGCTGTTGACGGTCTCGAGTTTTTCGCCCCTGACTTTGATGTCCACGTTGATGCCATTGGTATTATTGGTCATTAGCTTTTTTTTCTCGGCACTGATCTCCATGCCGTAGGCCCCCGAGGTTGTGTCCAGCCGCTCCACTAGTGTGGCGAGCTCCTGTTCTTCTCCTGCAAATCCATCGATGTCATCGGCAAAAGCAAGTTTGTGATTGTCCTGCCTCCAATACTGATTGTTCCATTGTGGGCTTCCAGTGTGTCAATCTGTTTGTCATTTCATGTGGTGTGTCTTGGGCAAAGAAGCTTGGCGGTGCCCATCCCCCTCCAAGCTCTTAACCGTAGGCTGATGTCCACGAATATGATGTGGGTCGCCCCCGATCGCATACACTTGACCGTTGAGTTCAGCTTGGAACCCTTCCGTTCTGACCGTTGGGTCCGTCATGGGACCCTTCCGCTCTTGACCGTTGGCTGTTTGATGTTGCTCATCCGCCCAGTGGTGCAGTGTAAACACCACCCACTCACGTGGTTTAGTCCGCCTGCTGAAGCGGTGTACCGGGTTATGGCGCTGTGGAGCTACACGAGAGAGATTTAGAAGATGTGTGAGGACCAGTGATGCCCGTCCACCCTACCAGGTAGGGTGCAGCATGCCAAACATGAAAGGTACTACCTCATACAGAGCCCCCTATAGATCTACCCCATAATATACTCAAACACATAAACAGAAAAGAAGTACAACGAGGGGAAAAAAGGGGGATACGAAGCCTGGGATTCACGACAGACAATCGTACCAACCCGACAACCCCTCCCCATTTTTGTTTTATTCTGGGTTTTTTATGGGGAAGGATTGTCTTTTGCCCCTGCCCCCCCCCCCCCCTCCTCCCTAAAATAAGAAAAAAATAATATTGATGTTTTTACGCCCACATCAAAACAGGCTTCGGACCGCGCCTGTCAGGGCCAAGTCGGAGTGAGAAGAAGACAATCTCTCAAAAGAAAGACCGAGACACTCAATAAAAAAAATTATCCGAACTCGGGAAGTAGACTCAGGTTTTCCACGTGTGACAGCAAAGCGCCTAACTGCAACAACACAGACGCTGGCGTCTCATTTCAATTGCAGGTTCCAAACGAAGTTAACAATAATTATCAAACAAAAACAAAACAGAACAAAATTTTAAAAATAACTTGCACCCCCCCCCCCCCCCCCCCAATAAAAACAGTTACATATTTTATTTTCAGTCAGAGAAGACACTCTTGTCCGAAACAAAACGTTGCAAAGCAAAGCAAAACAAACAAAAAATGCAAAGAGAAATATAATATCAAACAACTTGTAATAAAGTAATAAATACAAACGCCGTAACTCGCCAAAGCAGCAATTTTCCTAAAGCAGCTTATCAACCTCGTTACTATACAAAACTGGTGAAACATTCTCGGTGGCTTCACTGGTGACCTTCAAATCCAAGCGCTATTCTTTGAAGAATGTTCCATAAAAAGAACACACGTGGTGTGTCGGGCCAATGTCAATGTCAAGATTTGTGATTTGACTCTTCTGAGTTTCTTGCTTCCGTGGCTGCCTCAGACTTACAAACTGTCTTTTTTTTTCTTTCTCAAAAGCCTTGATGCCACCTGTCATGGTTTTAAGCCACTAAGTTGTAATTGTTCAAGTTACAGAGGGTTTATGGCCCTAGATTTATTTTAGTTTTAGTAAGGTTTTACGACACTCGCAACTGCTTTATGTCGTAGGGGTGGTGGGCGGGTCAACAGAGAAGACCAAACGTGGAACCATGCTTCACCTCTCTAGCCTCAACAGCACAAACTCTGCTTCGACTATCAATCAAGGCACCCCGTAAACAGCAGTTCACTAGAGAGTGACAAACATACTGAAAAAGTAGAGGGAAAATGACCATAGTAAAGATGAGGGGGAAAAAAGCAGCCGCCCCCCCCCCCCCCCACACCTATGTTGTTCCGGTGCAGTATGAGCATGACATTGATAAATCAGCTTATTTACAATTTTAGTGAGTATAACAACATGTTAATATCCCCCCTTGGGAATGGCCTAAAGACACCTCAGTCAGTGGCACTGTCCTGGGGGGGGGGGGGGGGGGTAGATTACTTATCAACACCAATGGAGCAAGCTTTCAGAGCAGTCTTCCGAGTGTCTGTACATCTTTTTCGGGGGCGCCAGTGTTCCACTTTCCAAATACCAATTCTAACATTTAATTACGTCTTTGGAAAATCGACTTGGCCTATACATCACGATATCTGCCCCCCCCCCCACCCCCCTCCCCATTCACAGCTTCAATCGACACAAAAACAACACCGAGGCGGCCACCTTCACAGAAACGGCAGCACCAGTTCCACTAAGGAGTAGACCTAGTACAATTAAGTACAGCATTATTTTGTTGCCTGTCAACCACAGTCTTGTACTAATACACAGCAACAGTACATAGGCGCCGCCTATCTTTAGTGCCAACTCACAATTCTACATTTAAAGAAAAGTTAATCCCCACCCCAAACACAAAAGACGTATGATGTTTTCAACGAATTTTAATGCTAAATGTAAACACGTGTGATTTATTGGAGGGAGTTCCATGACAGCTCGGTCGTTAATAGTCGTTATGCCATTGCATTGTATGTACTTCCAATTATTACTCTAAAATGCCGTGTTCCTGTTCGTCGTTTTTTTTTTTTAATTCGTCAAACTAGATAACCATTTATCGTTACTCAACAAAAACAAACCCGAATTAAAAGTTCCCATTATGTTTTTACTGGGCTAGCCTATCTTTTGTGGACTGATAACAGGCGAGGACCCGAGCGGAACGGTCCACGTTGCTAGATTTCGTCTGCGCCAAGTTGGCTAGGCTACATGCTACAGTTGGGCTAAAATCTGGTCAAGTTGTAAAATCATCATGGCGGCATGAGGAATCTACAGAGAGGAACCCTTTGGTTGTTGAGGAAAACTTTTTGCACTCTTATCTTCATGCGATCTTCATGAACGTGTCTGGAAGTATATACAATGAGAATTGGTGCATTAGCAGTACAGGAGCTTGAAGACGAGGTGAGTGCTCAAAATGCTGCTGAGCGTAAGCGATAAGTTTGGTCTCTGTGCTGGATTCGATTGAATGCGTACAACAGTGCAAAGTCAATTCAATTCAATGAAAGAACAGAAACAAATTCAAGTCCTTGGGGTCTCAGTCTCATTTGCCCCTATTTTCTGGCAAGTCCTTACTACTCGACAGAATTCTGGTCCCGCTGTTCTACATATCCAATGGAATATGTACTTTGATAATTTGTTTCTGACTTAAGGCCTCTACTACGAAAGTCTTTCCTGTTTGGAAGTGGCTATCCTCACCCTGCCCTGCCTGGGTGAGAATAAAATTTAATACGATCGACCTCTCGCCCCGGGTGAGACTTGCCAGCATTGGCTATTCTCACCCGCTGTGATACAAGACCTGTTTTTCCTAATTTCGGAATGGAATACTTAAAAGCGTACAATTTTGTCTGTGGGCAGTGGAGAGAGAGAGGAGTAGCGCGAGAATTTCCGGGCAAAACAAAATGGCGACCGGCGTAGTTCGGCTCGATTCGAAAAGTTAAATAGCCGTAGCATCTTTGTAGACAACCAAATTAATTTACTTTTGTGTTTTAACATCATTTTTAAACTTTGTTTTGGTCAATTTGATCGTCCACACCGATAGACAGTATTCAGAAAGAGACAGAGAGAGAGAGAAGAGGGGAGGAGTTGATCTTGCGAGAACTTCCGGGCGGGTGAGAATAGCCACTTTCCTAGATCTATACCGTATACGTTTGATTCGCGGTGAGCTAAGATATCAAACCTAACAACAGCAATAACATTAAATTGTGGTAAAATTCAGGGAGGCGTGCCCCCCTGAAACCACCCTTCCTATTTTTGTTAGGTCAGGGGGGCAAGCCCCCCTGAAACCCCCCTACTCTTGGGGCCAAAACCCGTGAATAACAATTGCGGGGTGGGAACTACCGAAAAAGCGCCGGTTCTTCTAGATATCTATCTATGGCCTAGGTCTAGATCTAGATCTAGGCAGACGGACATAAATCTTTGATCTAGTTTCGAGGCTAGCCTAAATCGATCTAGATCTATATGAGCCATTGCCAAAACGTGGGGAAAAACACACACATCTCACATTAGTGTGCATAAAATGTGATGCATTAGTATTTATTCCTCCAAAACGTATACACGCGTCAAATATAGGATGTAGAACCTGCATTAGCAGTTTCAGACTCCTTGTCAGCTTTACAATCTTGAATTTGTAAATTTTGTGCCAAAAATGTTCGTTTTTTAGTGATTCCTGGAGTGTCATTTTGAGCACACCAATGCAAACTTCCAAGAATGTCCAAAATTTAGTATTTTTGGGGGTGTTTTTTTTACGTGTGCTTTGATCCTATGTTATTTGTCATTCAGAAAGGTTAACTTGCTCAAGAAATCGGTTTATTTGTTTGCAAATAGACAAACAATTCGGGTTACTTGTGCGTCTGTCGTGTCGTCACGGACTAGGTGTTTCAGAAAACACCATTATTTTTCAGTAGAATCACCATAGCTGGTTAAATCTCTTTGCCTATCGTCGTTTATTCAATACTTCAAAAGCCGCAATGCGCGAAAGGAACATCGGGTTCCTAGATCTATGATTTCGGTCGGCTGTTTAACATTCGCCGTTATTGTCATCAATTTGCGACGTGCCGGAAGTCCGAATTTCGCCCACTTTTGTTTTGAACGGGTCATCAAAAGTGCCCGGATATAATTGTTTTCTTGAGTGACTTCCCCTTACCCGCGTCCCCAGAACAACAGAAACAATGGGTGAAACAGAAAAACGAAAGTAGTCATTGCCTTCAGCGTCTGGTGACGCACAAGAATTTTGCGTTGAATGTGACGTACTGGGCTGTTTTGCGTGTTTTTTTTAGGCTACTCTGTTGAATATTTTAGTGAAATTGCGGTGTTTACACTGGATTCCTGGAACAAGAGTGTGATGTGTGAACAAACTTCGAGAGATGGATCATTTCTGTGGTTATAGATTCAGCTTTTGTGCTCAGTGATGACGTTTGGGGTGTCGTCATGCAGCCGTACAAGACTGACTAACGTACAAGAAATTACATTGTCCTAAGAGCAAACATTTTTAAAGTAATGTGTGCTCTCTTTACTCAAACAAATAAACAAACCTGTCCTTGTTTATCTGTCTAACTCAAAAATACACATTTGTTCTTTGTTGGTATGGTATACCTTTTTCCAATACATTGTGTCAATGTGTCATCATTGTTATGTACAAGTAATATTTTTCATAATTGCTAATATCAATAAGTTTTCAACATATTTTTCATACATGCAAGATTCATTTAGAAGCAAAATACGTCTTTATTGATCTGTGTATCTCTTAGTGCAAATTTGGTCTTTGTAGGCATGATTTTACCTTTTCCCAGTATGTTTTGTCATCACTGTTATGTATGAGTACTGTTTGTCATAATTAGCCACATAATTGTGATTGTCCACTGTCTTTGATATGACCTGGTATCTGTTTCAAAGCAAAAGAAACCTCTCCTGTTTTTTTTTAATTCTTAAAGTGCACTTTTATCTCTGGAGGCAAGACTTTTGTCTTTTCCTGTACATTGTGTCATCATTGTTATGTAAGTCATGTTTGTCATCACTGTTATGTACAAGTCAGCTCCATTGATTTTGTGCTTTTGCCTCATATTAGTTAAAAAATTGTTTTACACATGTGTTTTTCTGGTACTGAGGCTTTGATAACTGTATTTGTACAGCCTTTCACTATTGTGATGTGTTGTCAATGATAATGTCCAATGTGTATCCTTTCTTGTACATAACAATGATGACATGTTCTGTGCACTGCGTCATTGTTACAAAGCTTGTCATTCATATTACCATTATGAATGGAGTTCATAGTGTACAAAGTGTTTGTTTACTAAACAAATGGAATTTAAAGTCTATAATTTGCCTTGCTGCTTATCTGTTTTTGTCATCACTGTTACATACAAGAAATACAGTGGTTGCCAAACCAATAGACCCATATCTCCAAAACCGTACATCTACTTGCTCTGATACTCTTGGAATATGAGCACTAAATGTCAATCTGTGACTGACAGAAAAGAGAGTCAAATTGGTAAGACAATTTTTTTTTGCACCACTGAGTCTCAAGAGAGTCTCACGTTTTGGCAATTGCTCATATATCTAGATATCCAAATGAAGATTGCAGATGTCTTTTCGATGAACGATCGATTTTCCTCCGTTTTGGAGTTGGAGGAATCACAATTTGAAGAAAAGAACAATGTCATAATTTTAATCGAGCAGCCACCCTCTCTATTTCTCTGCCCCTCTCTCTCTCTCTCCTCTGTGTATCGCTCGCCTTCTCTCTTTCTTTCTTTGTCTGTCTTTCCCTATTTCCCACTTTATCTCTTTCTCTCGTTCCCTTCTGCCAACTGGGGCATGTCATACATTTTGCAAGCACCTCTCTCTCTCTCTCTCTCTCTCTCTCTCTCTCTCTCTCTCTCTCTCTCTCTCTCTCTCTCCTCTCTCCCCTACCGGGTCTGTATACTTCGTGACTTTGTTCCCGGTTACCGGGTCTGTATACACTTCGGGACAAAAAAGCAAAAAAAAAGGCGGCTTTATTTCTCAGACGGCGGGCGATTTTGTAGTTTCGTTCGTTTAAGTCAAGAGATGGGGGGGTTTCAGGGGCTTGCCCCCCTGACCTAATAAAAAATGGAGGTGGGGGGGGGGGTTCAGGGGGGCATGCCCCCCTGAATTTTTTCCTAATGTGAATAGTGCAGGCGAGTCTTTTGGATATTCTCACCCGGTGCGCGTTCACCGTTATAGCCTAGATCTAGGCCAACAAATTTTGCGTTCACCCTAAATTTTGTCTGTGGGCAGTGGAGAGAGAGAGAGAAAGAGAAAGAGAGAGAGAGAGAGGAGTAGCGCGAGAACTTCCGGTCAAAACAAAATGGCGACCCGCATAGTTCGGCTCGATTCGAAAAGTTAAATAGCCGTGGCATCTTTGTAGACAACCAAATTAATTTACTTTTGTGTTTTAACATCATTTTTTAACTTTGTTTTGGTCAATTTGATCGTCCACACCGATAGACAGTATTCAGAAAGAGACAGAGAGAGAGAGAGGGGAGGAGTAGATCTTGCGAGAACTTCCGGGCAAAACAAAATGGCGACCCGCGTAGTTCGGCTCGATTCGAACAGTGAAATAGCCATAGCATCTTTGAAGACTATCAAATTAGCTTACTTTTGTGCTATATCGTAATTTTTTCTTGGCTTTTATCAATTTGATCATCCACACCGATGGACAGTATTCCAAAATGAGGAAAAGCAGGTCTTGTTTCGCACCGGGTGAGAATAGCCTACGCTGCAAGTCTCACCCGGGGTGAGAGGTAGATCGTTTTTCTATTCTCACCCCGGATGAGAATAGCCACTTCCTTTAAAGTTAGGTTGCATCCCTGCTCTTTGTGCAGCCTATTTCAAAGAGTATTTGGTCATCAAGACTTTTCTGGATTTCTTCTCTGGATGTAAACAAATGGGTCGTGGACTTTAACGAACGGAACTACAAGATCACCGGCAAGGCCACCTATATTCTCACCCCGGGTGAGAATAGCGCAGGCGAGTCTTGGCTATTCTCACCCTGTGTGCTTTCACCGCGATAGCCTAGGCCAACTAGTGTAGCATTCACAGTGAACAACAGAGTTCTACACTGTGATACACAGAAGTGTAGAATTCTGTGCCGTAAACAAACGTTCCAGCGCTCTTGTTGTGTTGAAAGTGTGGGTAAATCTTTACTTTTGTACCCACACATAGATGCATAAACTGCCACAATTTTTGCTGTAGAACGCACGCATGGCCCCTAAAACCCTTGCAAATCAATTGTTTTCAAGTAAATATCAATCCTAATTGCCAAAACATCAAATCATTGTGAAATTCAGGGGGGCATGCCCCCCCTGAAAACCCCCCATTTATAGTTAAATTTACTATTTTCAAACATCAATAACTCAATAACTATTACTATTGATTTGTGGCAAAAA